GGCGTTTTGGAAAAACAAATAAAAATTATTTTTTTTTCCTCCAACATTAACATTTTGAGGTTTTGGTTTCAAATTTTGCCAAAGAAAAAAGTCATAATTGAAACAAATATATATTATACCTCCCGCCACCCCGCCCAATCTACACACACATATATAGACTCATATAAACCATTTTAGAACCTTATTTTTAATGTAGACATATGTAAATTAAATATATACGAAAATTGCCAGGCTCTGCATGGGCCTGATAGCTCTGTGCCAGGGTATGAAGAGTGATCTGTCTATCTAGGGTTCAGTGCAGAAATTAAAAGTGGAAAATTGTCTATAGAAAAAAAAACGAGGAATCCGCTGCCAGAGAATAGCCTCCCCCCAACTTTAAAAAGGAGATCCCTGGAGTTGCCATAAAGTCTTTTAAAGACAGGGCTGGATTTCCATTTGCCAGATTGCAGAAATCAATGTGCACTGTGATTGAAAGGCTGTCAGAAAACAAGAAAAGCTTCTTGCACCTGCTTTGCACAGTGGTAAGAGGCTGAGAAAAGAGCCCATCATGGAAGTATGAGGTCTCTTTTCCAAAACCACTCCCAGGACTTTCAGCATCACTTCAGTTACAAATGCTCTCTATCATTGAAGAGGGAAGAAAAATAACCATGTTCCTCTGCAAATCTTCAAGGAGCATTTAAAGGCTGATGTAAAGGGATTAGGAAGTAATCAGTGCTGAGCACACACTGATGGAGAGGCATGTGGCAGAAATGCCCCCATCGGTGCCCCTCTCCAGAGATCTGACTCAGCCAGCCCGAGAGGCTGCTGTTGAATCTCTCACAGCGGGGATCTCGCTCCTTGTCTGCAGACAAAAGCCTGGCGCCTGGGAGGCGATGCTCTGGTCACCTGGGCAGGGGGGGGAAGACCCGGCCCTGCGCGCGGGCCCAGGTAGCCAGGGATGCTTTGCAGATTGGACGGTTTGTAGCCAGTATTGGCAGCTTCGATTGGACCGGCTGCTGAGGTCAGGGAGGTTTTAAAAAGGCCTGGGCCAGGAAGAAGGGGAGCCATTATCCATGCGGTCATCCAGGTGAATCTGAACCTGGCTCTCTCCTCATCACCGCATGCTGCAAGAGTGCCCTGCCTCCAGAGGAAACAACAAGCACCTCTGGATGATGCGAGTGAGTAACCTACTAGAGATCCGATCAGATATTTAGCTTCAGTAACTCAGATGCGTGTTGAAACGGCTACCTCAGCCACCCTGGTTTGCTCTATGGGATTCCCCTGATATTCCTGTAATATTTCTATGATATTGCTCTACCTTTTACCCTGTTTCTGCCCTACCCCTGTAATCAATAAAGTTCTCCTTTGTGACCGGTGTGGAGACTTATTGAGGGTGGGTCTAAATTATGCCAAGGAGGCCCC